CCATACAATGACATTTGAGCAGAAGGGCAAAGTGTCCAAGCATTTGTGTTCTGCTGAGATATTTTTCACGAAAATTAAATCAATGCTTACATCTCATTTATCTTGACCCTAAATAGCACTCCTTTTTGATTTAGTTCACAATCTTTAGATATCTTTAGATCAGTGATATCATATAATGGTGTCCTTGTGACTATAAGTGGCATGAACCAACACCCATGTGACTTTCTGATGCTAGCTTACAAATTTCACGATTTGGTAGGCTAGACGATCTGGTTACTTTGAAGAGAAAGTGATGTCATAATCTTCCTCTCCCTACTTTGAGTGATAACCATCTCTCTATTGAAATTTGAGCTGCTAGCAATCACATTGTTAACCCTACCAACCTTAAAATCAAAATTTAGAATCAGAAAATAAAAGAGACAAGGGTTGGTATATATCACTCAATCATCATCTATACATACCACTGTCCCAACCATCAAAGCCTTGAAGGGTTTACCTAGGTTGTTTGGATAAAGTAGTGATGTAAACCATCCTCCATGTTTCTATGATTTTCATAAGCTGAGATATGGAGCTGCTTTCATGGTTGCTAGGGTAAATACAGTCTGGTTGCTATGGATCGGTCAGTTATGTTGTATTATCTTCCTCTTATAACATGAGTCAGATCGGTTTGAAGGTTTGAGCATGAAGTGTCTTGGAGGAGATGGCTCACATTAATAGTAGTAAGTTAACGAATAGCAACAGTATGTTGTTTTTCCCAAGCTAAGGTAATTAACATAAGGACCAGGTGGATCCCATCATGTCCAATCATTGGCGTAGCTCCCTTTAAAAATCTCTCTTTAATTTCTCATAGAAAATGTATTATTAATTCAATAATCAATGTATTTACTCCAGAAAGGGACTGCACACGCAGTCTATGCTCTTAATGTTATTTCTGACATGAGGATAGCATTATATGATTCTGTTCATCGTAGCAAATTGGTCCTGTCATCAAATCTTGCAGAAACAGTCTCGGTAGAGCACTTGGTTCAGCACCAATGCCTCCCTTGATTGATGCCACTAATGTTGGGATTCCTCAACAACACATTGCAGTACCGTTTCAATCCATAAAGCACGAAGAGATGGACAGGGTGGGAGGTTTTAGAGGATGGGTCAGAGGTCATAGTCTGGAGATGTACCAGCTGCATTCATCCCTTGAGACTAAGCAGGAGGGGGGGGGGGGGATGAGGATAGATGAATGGAAACTTCATTTGGAGGTGTTTCAAGGGAATAGGAAGACTTGTTGGGTTGTGTAAGAGTGATGGAGGTGGTGAGAGACTCTTAGCTTGGCCACCTGTGTCTCAGACTGTTTTTTTGTTGTTTTGCCACAGTAAAAAGACAACGGAGAACACATACAACTCTGTGGATTCTCATCACACAGGTAAAGCAGTCATTTCTACTGAGGCACTAAACCACTTTTCACATATAGATGGATTATAAAGCTTTTTAATACATTTTATGTGCATTCACAGCAATGTCATTTAAACTCTGGAGCCAATAGTATATGCAAAAAACTAAGCATCTTGAAGTAAATAATGATAGGTATTTGGTGACAACGCTTAATGGTGGTTCACAGTTATTTCATAAAACATATTTTCTTCTGGGATTCATCCAAAACAAAGATCGGTTCATCCAAATCAGGATAGGTCTTCTTTTCTATGCTTTTTAACTTTTTAACCTAGTTTTCTAGGTTCCGTCCAAAACACAAGTTCTTTCTGGTTTTCCTTCAAGCATCCTTCAGCCAGGAATCCCAAACGCTGTAGACTCTTCTGCTCTTAGAGTCTGAAGAGGAGTGTTGGATGCTGGCCTTATATACCATGATTTACATAATGTGTTTTGTGAGTTCCCTGAAATCCCTTGAAAAAGTCCCAGTTGAAGTCATGAACTCTTTGCAAACTCTTGTAATCTCTTGACAGTCCATTTATGGACAACTGGGAGCAATTGAAGCTCAAAAGAGTCATGGCTGGTGATTACCTTTCTGTATCCTCCTGATATGTAGTTGTACTGGATCTCCAGTGTCCATCAAGTCTCCCATAGACATATTTGGTTACCACCTCGCAACATCTGTTTCTGTTACAGCAGGTTAAGCCATTTCTTTGTTAATTTAATCGGTTACATTTTGTGATTAATCCATAAACTATTTGTATTTCATGATTTTCTTTAGAACCAGAAAAAATAGACTTAGTTATTTTTCATATCTGTTGAAGTAAGTGTGGTCTGAATGGGGTTGGATCACATAATTGTATTTTTAAGTTAAATAACTGCACTTGTTTTGAATGAATGACAGAGTGTCATTTTTATGTTCATTCTGACCGAGTGCTTGCAGCTTTTCAGACGTATATAATTTACGGCTTAGCTGCTCGTCTCGCTCTGAGATGAAAAACTCTGTCACTGGCTCCCTGACGGCTGAATGATTCTCATTTACAGGCTGCTGGCGACAGATAAAACAGCCCTTTACAAGACACCAGTCCACAGAGTTCACCATCAAGTACAGCTCTGAGAAAGAGCCCATCCAGAAGCTGGACCTGGTCACAAGTGCAATGGCTGGTACAAGTTCACATTATTATAATTCCTCTCAAAAAAGGCTTACTGATATTCAAAATGTTTTTCTGTAGTTTTGGAGAGGAGCCTAGTGTGGAATAGTTCTAATTTAAATATGTTTTATGGGACAAATTAAAGTGAAAGTGAGGAATTTAGAAGAATTGATTTACTTGGAGCATGTGTTTAAGGCGTGTGGGGAAAAATGGAGCTCTCTGAGGAAAAACCCACTCTCAGGAATCCAAATCACACAGGGATCTACACTCAGAGAGTTTCTCCTCACAGAATAAATTATTAAACAGTAACAGGAATGATAAAAATGCAGAGTAGTAGTTCTTCTGGGTTATTTTATATCCTTGAAGTCTCAATTCACATCCTGATCGCCTACACTCAGATGTTACACATTTTTCTGGATTTGATGTCCTCTTTGGACTACTCACATTTCTCTTGGAGTTGTCTCTTTTGATTTCCAGAGAGGGTTCAATCTAGTCCTAAAAGCAGACTAACCCTATTGGCTAGCCCCTTCATATCCATGTAGCCTATTGAATTCTGAAGATCCCTTGACGAGCGGATCATCTACCACCACCTAGACGACACAATAAAACAACAAAGAAACTGTTAGTGCAGCAGTAAATTTAATAAAACTAGAAGCCAGAGTTTCTTAAGGCAAGAAATTTGGGGAGATCAGGTGGACACCGTTCCCCAACAAAGTTCAATTGATCAATCCCCTACAGGCTCCTCTTGTCAAGTAGCACTAGAGGGCGATCTCACCTGATCCCCCAATTACGTCTGACATCCAAAATCCTGAAAGGCCAGTAGACCAAGGTGTTTAACAATCTGTTATTGTGGAAAAAAACGTTACCACTTTCCTATCACTCGATATCAACAATTGCCAATGTCTAATAAAAAAATGTTACTAAAATAACAAAAAAAAACATGTTTCTTTATCTTATATTTCTCCAGCTGAGTACCAGCAGCCTCTTATGCTCGGCACGGACACTGTGTCAAGAAAAGGCTCAACATTTAGACCCATGGACACTGAATCCAAAGACTCCGAGGCTTCTCACTACGACCATCTTCAAACAGGCATCCAGTATGCCCTCCCACTGACCAATCAGGAGCCAGAATATGCCACACCCATCATTGAGCGGCACGTCTTCCGCAAAGACCCCTTCCTTCCTGATGCTAGCTACAGCATGCCTGGAGTGGTGCTGAACAAAAGCCCGTCCATTCGAGCAGTAGAGGGCCGCAGTAGTAGGAAAGAAATTGGTGGGATGTCTGGGGGCTACCAGACTCCCCAGGTAAAGAGGGAGAAAGGGAAATACCCGGAGGACATCTATGACAGCCCCAAAATACAGAAGCCCTTGATACAGAATGGGAGTTGGTCGGAGTACCAGAGACCACAGGGTAAATCCCCAGTTCAAGAGTGCTACTCCAGTCCCAAAGACTGTGTCCGGTTGGCTTTCACCGGGCCAAGACCAGATCCTGAGGGGAGTCGCTCTGACCCAGAGGGAAGCAGTTGTTTGGATGGGAGCTGAGAAGCACAACACTGTCACAGCCTTGGTTTACCTGACTCAACGAAACACCTCCAGACTCTTAATTTATTTTGTACGAATGGCTTATCGTTTTGTGTAGTTCTACTTTAGAGGAGGCTGCGACGACTTTGATCGGTTTGTATATATGAGATGTCTTGAATCTCCTATTTTGAAATGCTGCTTTTTTTTTTTTTTTTACAATTACGGCCAATGCACAGGAATGATTTAACTTTCCCATAAGGATTTGTCGAACGTCTTTAAAACAGTAGCATTTTGTGAATCAGAAAAATCACTTCCTGAAGTCAGATGGTGCTTAATGAAAAAAAGAAATTCCCCTAAATACAAGACACTTCACCAAAAATGAACCTCATTGGTCGGCTGGTTTTTAATTTGACTCTTTAATCCATTCAGACCCTGATTAGTCTTTCTAGTCACAAGTTTTTCTCAGAAATTTGGAAAATAAACAGGTCACAACCATTTTAAAAATACTACTAAATATAAAAAAAAAATTTAAGGGGCGTGAACTGAGAAACAAACAAAGAGTGGTATTTTTAATATAAAAGCTAATGGAAAAATAAAGCTACAGCTACATTTTTTTTTATTGCAGCCAGCAATAACAGCAGTTAAGGCAGATAGCCACAAGGATAAATTCATCAGTTCATTTTTAATAGGGAGCGAGCCAGTGTATGGAAGAGCACATCTGTTAATTATTTTTTGAAGGAAAACGTTTTGTATTGAGGAAAATTGTGGTGCATGTGCAACAATAGTTTAATCTCCATGCTCTATTTTCATTTATATGGCATGAAGCATCAAAAATATATGTTTATGACACATATCATTAATATTTGAATCATTGACCAATTACAGAGTTGAGAACCCCTTTCACATCTGGCTTTCCCCGTGGCTCAGTCAGTAGAACTTTGCGCTAATAATGCCAAGGTTGTGGTTTCAAACCCCAGGGAAAGCAAGAACTGACAAAATGTGTTATTTGCTTGAAATTTAAGTCACTTTGGATAAAAGCATCTGGTAAATACTTAAATGAAATGAAATTGTGTTTTTTTTTCCAAACCAATGTTTTTTGGTGTGAAAATCACTAAGCAAATAATGGGACATCCAAGTACAAAGAATTAAAAAAAAAAAAACCTTTAAATGTCTTTTTTGTAAATTGTAACTGTGTTTTTGGCCGTTTTAGTGAACATTAGTGAAAACATGCAAAAACAAAAAAGTTAACTAATAAAACTTGCAATTACAATGTATATGACAATGGCAGTAAACGTGAATTAAACCATTGAAATGGTTTATTCTTAATCCGGTTAATTTTTTATTTTAGAATCAACCTGCCATATCACTTCATTGCTTTGATTGCATTGCATGTCAATTGATGATGTTTATTATAATGGAAGCAGGGTCTGAAGGTGTTCTATAACCATGAGCAAAGGATGTAGCGCTCTGCTCATAACTGCACGGTGTATGCTCTTTTACAAGCTGTGAATCAAGCAACCAGCAACTCTTTGAACTTAAGGCCTTCTCTGAACATTTCATCCGCAGTGAAAATCTGCTGAAACCGTACGAGAAGAAGGGGGGAGTCCAAAATCATGCATTTAAAATGGCATTTTAAAAATGTGGTGTGCACCTAAACTAAGCAGGGCTTTTACATGGTTGTGATGCAAGAGTATTTTGGGTAAAGAATAATTGTCTCGTTGAAGACAGTTGCACCTCTCTATTTTGGTGTAACTTTTTAGAAAAGCATTGTTTGAGCAGTTTACACACATTGCACACTTTGTTGGAATTTAGTGACAAATAAATGGGAGGTTTTTTTGGGGGCTGGTTGCTTTGGAAAGTAATTATCTGTGCTCTTGGGACAATATAAAATTAAATTCAATTAAATATGCAAAGAAGACTATAGACAAATGGACAAGGAATCCAAATGCTGCTGTTCAAGTTGAAGATCTTTACTAATACAAAACAAGCTGTGCATCCTTCGGAAAATGCTGCCTACCCAGTGGCTGGAGGCTACGGCTTGCACCAACCATTGGTAAACAAGATGGTCTACCCTCATGTAGACCACAGAGTTTTATTAACTTTGCGCACTACAACAAAGTGACACACCAAAAGGTTCATGTGGCTATGTGTTCGGGTTATTAACGTCATGTTTTTACCGTACAACTACAATGTTTTCGAATGCTACTATCACCACTAGCATTTAGAAAAAAACATTTAACTCATGTCCTTAAATAAAAACGTATTGTTCACTATTTTATGTTTATTCTGTTAAGATGCAAAGCATCTATGTGAGGCCAAGAAGGATGGTAGGGTTTGGGGAAAAAATAAAAATTTTAAGTACTCTTCGGTTTGGTGAAATTGGATAGCCTTTGTACAGTGTTTTGACATAAGTAGCCTCAAATGTGCACTTCAAGGATTGGGACACGGCTAAAACTTTTGAAAACAAACTATTTCTTTCATGCCGAAGTTTTGTTTACATCCGCAACAGTTCAATACGTATTCACTTACCAATGTTTTAGTGTTTAAATGCAAAAAAAAAAATCAAATGTTCATTATCTACATTTATTTCATTCACATTTTATGAGATTTGTTGTGGACAAAGCACAAGAATTCTTCACTTGTTCTCAAAAAGACAGTTCTGGTGGATTTGCGTTTGTGCTCATTTTAGGGGTTGAGCTGCTTCTTTTTAGAAATGCTGCTGTTTAAGATTTCTGTCTGGTCTTAATTTCTGTGAAATGTCTAGTGGGTGTGCTGGGGTCCATGGTGCCTGTGAGGATTTATCTGGTGGATTGAACTTGAAATGCTATGGCTCGGAGAATCTCAGAACTTGGTTTGTGCTTGTCTGAAGCCTCATTAAAAGCACCAAGCATTCAGCAAAGTCTGTGTTTTTTTTTTTTTTTTTTTTTCTTTCATTTTTTAAAGCATGTGAATGGTATGTACTTGGTGAAAGCAGGATGTCACGCACTGGGTGACCCAGTAGGAGAGGGATCTGGAATGTGACAGTTGTGTGTTTGTTTGTTTTAGCCCAGCAGCTAATGCTAGATCCATACTAGAGTTTGATGATTCTGCATGCTTGATATGTTAAAATGCATAGCAATAAAATGAATATCAGCCATCCTATTTCACCATAAAGTCACCATTATCTAAACAAACACTATGCACACGTGTTGCATAGTGAGATTGAGAATCACACTGTTTAAATCAAATTACCTTTCCAAGATGAATTTTAAGGGAATGTTTTTACTATTATTTAAACTATTATAAAAGTTATATACAACCAGTGGCTTTCTTTTAGGAAACAATGCTCGCTTTTTTATTACAAATGTTACGCATAATATTTACTCTGTCTATGCAATGATTTAATCATTTATAATGCAGGCTATATTGTGCATTAAATTATGGTTTAATGTCCATAATGGGGCTAATGCAGCATTCAGCAGCCCCCCATTAAATACTGCCAAAGGACAGTCTCTTTCTTACCAGAAAACTTAATTTCACACACACAGTATAGCCTACAAAATTATACAATGCCCTTATGTAGCGCATGTATTTAAGTGGTGGATCATGCAATCTGTACGGATTGTGTAACGACAAGGTGACCTTTTGGTCATGGAGTGAACTTGCTAGTTAATTTCTACAACGTAAATTAGTTCATGTATTTTAATAAAAAAAAAACGTTGATAAATTTTACTTATTTAATTTCATGGAAACCTTTAAACGCATTTGTATTGATAAACTTAATCTGGGTTTAAAAAAAAGTGCGGCACTATTTATGCTCAGCCAATGAAGGAGTCAAAATTGAAATACGTCACTTCACATAATTAATATTAATGAGTATTTAGAAACTAACGGTCCATCTCAAGAAACGTTTTCAAATTACTGTCAAAAGTTCCAAGTTTAACTTGATGTAAATTAAACATTTTATGTCGACATACATCTCAACGAGATAAAGGGACCGAAGTGTACAAAAACACAGTAAAGTGTCGAAAAGTTTCAAGTATAGTTATATTTTACCAGCGGACGTCGGCGGGAGTCAAGTTGAAATAACGTGTTCAGGTGATTTTCCTATTAAAAGGGTAAGTTACTACATACAAAGGTGTTTTGTCACGTTTGATGTTTTTAAATGTAATGAGTTAATTGTTTGTACGTGTTTAAGTGTGTTCGTTTTCTTGACCTATTGGATAATAAAATAGTACAAGGGTTTAAATGGCGGCGTTTCATATAAAAAACCGGACGGAAGGTTTATAGGTGAAAGAAGTGACTCACAAAGTAAAAAATATAAATACTTCAACCTCTAAAAAATATATACTTCATTACTGTGAAAAGATGGTCAAAATGCTTCATGTTTTGTATATTATCGAGTCCAGCCTCGATCATACTGCCCTCTGCTGTTTAAATGTAGGGCTGCAGGTAAACTTGTTTTACACACAAAAAACAATCTGGGCAAATAAATTTATTGAAACATTTCATGTCATACATTGACTACACAAAGAAAATATATATATATTCCCATATCACGTGTTTCACACTTCTTATAAAACTGAAACAAAAGTCAAAATAATCCACAGTTGTGTAAAAAAGGGGGGCTATTCTCCAGTTCTTGCTTCACAGTGAGTCATGCACTGGCAGTGTGGGACGCATCATACAACTCTCAGGTGAACCAATCAGTAACTATAAGAAGAAAATTTTCCACTCATCCACCTAAACATGTCTTCACTTGGATGTCCATTAACAGCCACTCCGCAGATGCAAACTGGTTAACAAATCAAATATATTACTCAAACTTGCTTTAAAGCTGTTTTAAAATGACTAATGGTCTTCTAAAATCCATTTCAGATGTGCTTAGTAGATGCATTATTGCTATAAAGCCCATATCTTTAATTTACCTTTACAATAATCAGTAGATTTCAAGTAGATTTCAGCATTACATGAAGCCTGTGTAATAAACACCTCTTGATTGAATCTGGAATATTAGATATTGATTTTGGTAATTAACCTGATGGTAGGAGCAGGAAAGCAAAATTGATGAATGAAGGAACATCTAGTGATTGTTACAAAAACGATCTTACAATTCTCAGGTTTGAGGCACTAAAGCTGAGTATAGATTGGTGATTTTGCATGGAATATATTGAGCGGATTGACTTATTAAATAGGTTGCTACGTTGTTGATTAAAATGTAGTTTAATATGTTATTCTTTCAATGTACTTTCAATGGCATTCATTCCAGACGAACGAATTAAAAGTTACAGGATTTACAGAAAAATATGGGTCATATCTTACCTTTAGATCAATAAAATTATTTCAATTCATTCTTTTATTTACTGATAATGATTTCACCTACTGTATATAGTAGGTTATTTTCATAAACATGTAGATTTTTCATTACATTTTTTAGAAATTGTTAAGATTTATTGCAAATTAATCATAAAGGATAAAATGAAAAAAAGCATTTTTATTGGTAATTAAAAAAATCATTCATTTAAACTAAATTGTATTTGTTTATTAGTAAATAATGATGTGTCAATCTTTTCTCATGTGTTACACCAGGATTTATGTTTATAAAGAAAAATACAATTGTATTTAAATTGCACTTTTGTAAAATGTTAAATGAGATATGACTATGATACATTACAAAATGGTTTTTTTTTATTAGGAAAATGTGTTAGTTTGATTTTTGAAGCTAGTTTGCCTATATTTATTACAAATAATTACAAACGCATTACAAATAATTTCACAGAAACAGTATTTTTGCAATAAATAATCCTAAATTATACATTAGCATCCTTTAGGGTAAAATATGACCATGATTTCAAATTATATCAGTTTCACCTTGAATCTAGTTTCAGATCAAGTAAATGGCACAAAAAAACAGGGAAGTAATGAAGACAGACTATTTAACTGACCCACAATGTTCCAAACAGGAAGTGACATCAAGTGGCAATAAACGGGTGAGCCAGTCCGATG